GAATGACAAGGACACATCGAAACCAGTCGCTAGACATTTTAATTTACCTAATCATTCTAAGCAACATATGGCAATCTGCGGTCTTTCCTTACACTTAGGTAGCACGGAAAGCCGTAAAACTCTTGAACAAAAGCTCATCTTTCAAACCGGCAGTCTAAATCCCACAGGGATCAACGAACGCTTTTCATTCCACTAATTTATTCGTGTTTTTCTCGTTGCCATGTTCCCACCAATAACGTAGCTCCATTTTCTGCCTTTAAAAGCACACACAACCCACAATTCCTCTATTCGCTCCGACGAAGGGCTAACGCTCGAAACGTCAGCTTTTGTAATCGTTACGGTGGCCAGTTTACCATTTCAACTTTGTTGATATATCCAAATTATGTATGACTCAATAATTAGCTTGAAATAAACATCGAATTTTGCACACTCACATGGCGCCTGGGTGGCATCACGTTTTATTTAACTGCCGAAACAAGACTTAATTTCCAATGGCCAAACTTTCCAGGTGTATGTTTTGATAAATGAGCTTTGGTCTGGTATTGTTATCATGTCGAAATTTTAGGTACCACTGAGGTGTCGTTTAAACCGGTCAAAGTTAGTCTTCATTTTGTCTCCCAAAACATCGTGCTAAATACACCTCTATAAAAACGACGATAAAAATAATACCAAAGAGAACTACAGAAAATGTGTTATATGCTTTCATTTTGCAGTGATATTGTAATTATTGTGCAAAGTTTGATGTGGTGAATAGACTTTCTTAGCGCTGTCAACATCTTTCTAAAGTTGCGTGACGATTTGACCTTTTAGGCAAGGCGAAAACGGCTTTTTAATGAATTTTCAAACTTTTTAAATTTTCAGCCAGAAAAAAAGTCGCTGGAACTTTAAAATGTTTTTTTTCGAAACTAGTTCACAGAATGGGATGTTTTGTCAAAGTAAAAAGAAATCGATTTTTCGTCACTGATTTTCGAATGTCGAAATATTCTGGCGGCTTCTCATACAACTTGAAAAGACTTAAGCATATGACGATGGACAAGAGAATATAAACTGATATTCTCTTGCAGCGGATCAAGACATATCCGATTAAGTATAGCAATTTATATTAGTGTCCTTGTTACCAGTAGAAACAATAATTTGCAGCTCTCACCTGGGTGGGGACCGGTTATTTCTGGGAGGTCGACCTGTATTGGAGTTAGGTAATACATCTCAGTTAATATCCATGGTTGTTGCCATGCCCATGCATGTATACGGAACTATCAAAGGTTTATTGTGCACTTAGTCGCTTTTGGCTTTCGCTGACAACTGAAAGTTTTAAAACAAACTTCCTTTAGGTGTCGTCTCCATTTTTGGGCTTGCCACAATTTAGTCAATTTATAAATATGAGATCACGCGATTTCTATAGTGTTTCCCTTCTTTTGCTCACAGCGCATTGTAAAGTTTGGGCCTGAGTCCTTTTGGTAGTCTTACTGAACTGAAATTAAATTTTGTGACGTCTTTGTTTCATAAAACGATGAAGAAATCAGTTTTGCTGTGATCTAAGAAAGTTTTCCTCTGATGAGAAAGAAGGGTAGTTTATCTGGTACGTGATAGTGCATAAATTATCTGATGAGTTTTAATATGAGTTTTCGTCAGTGACCATGAAATATCATGATTAATGCCAAATACCTTCGTTAAATAGAAACAACCATCTCGCTGTAAAAGCCGCCCAGCTGCTGAATTTATCCCCATCTCGCCGCGAAGAAGATAACAAAGTCCTGAGTTCTCCAGAAAGTTTGCTCTCCTGCAATAAGCTTGCCTCGCGCACAAAACAGAACAGGAAAGCAAGTTATCAGTTTTTCCAGACCAAAAGAGGCTCTCTTCCTTGTAGCTGAAAAATGTGTTTTCTTTGATTTGAAAGAAAACGCCATTTTCGGCTCCTTCAGTTGTCTTTGCCGCTAAGAACAAGACGAATAGGTACTCGACTTGAAGTAACATCTGTCGAGAGTATTTTAAGACAAATTTGTAATTAGAAAATGTACGAAACATATAAATTACCCGCCAACAGACAAAACAGTGAAACAAAATAGAAAGGGAAAGAAATTTTAACAAAACAGTGAAACAAGATAGAAAGGGAAAGAAGTTTTAACCCACCCTTATCTTTAATCGCAAAACACTACGCGACACTGAAACCTTATTGTATAGATCTGCACGGTTAGTACTAATTGTAAATTTGATGATTCCTTAATATCCGTCTGAAAGTCTCTTTGTCTATCAGTGGGCAGAATGCCTGTTGTTCTTGCGACTTTTCTCGGAGTGACGAAAGTTTAATAGATCTGTTATATTAGCAGTGAGGCGTATGTATGATTCTTTTACTTTATTCTTGACCGGAAACGTTCTATTGCATTCTCAGTCAAACAAAGTTTTAGAAGTCATCAACATTTAGAAGGGTTTAATTATTAAACGGCCAACAGCGAAAAAAATTGAAAAGCCTACAACTTATGCAAAGCTATCGAATGCGACATAGAATTCAATCCACAGGTCCTGATAGGAAAACCTCTAACACATAGTTTTTTAACTTAACGTTTACTTGCGCATTTTGAGTGTCAGCATAGTTAGTAGAGGGGAACACAGTCCCCCTCTACCAACTATGGTGTCAGTCTCATGACAAAAAAGGTTCCTTCACAAAATTGCAAGACACCTTCTCTATCTCTAGATATTTCAATCCTTTTCTTTTCTTTTACCTGCACTACAATTCTACACTTTGAATGTATTGTTTTACGACGAAATGCTTCAGCGAAACAAGTGAACGTGCCAATTTGATTCAACTCTAACGATCAGTTAGATCTTACTGAAATAGTAGTGTTAATTCATCAAACATTAATTACAAGTAAGGCAAAGATAGGCGAAGTACTCCATGAGTTGTGCTCAAGGTGCTTATGTGCAGTGAACATTGTATTATCACAATCATTATCTAAAGTTTATCGAAGCCATTCCTAGGCCAGAATTAGAAAATAAATTGTTAAAACACTGGAGAATGCCTCTCATGTTAAAACAACAACTCAGAATCAAAATAAAATGATGATCATCATCAACGAAGAGTAATTATTCTGGGGGTTTCTATAATGCGAGCCTGCGAGCCCGAGCCTTTTATGACGAGCCGGAGCCATTTTTTGCGAGCTTCGGGAAAATAACATCGAAATCTGGACATAATGCTTTTTTATGGTCATGGTCCCTGGCGTTCCTTGTCTAAACCGCGAAAATTGAGGACGAGAGTGCGACAACTTGTCTTATCATGTGCTCGCTGATTGTAAACAACACAATTTTTGAAATGTTGTTTTGGGAAGGTCGCACAGCAAAGATTCCTGTCTTATACGCTGTTCTCACACACAAACGCACACACCGTTCGTGGTAGGCCCACACTAAGCGATGTCGAGCGTTTTCGCTCGACGAACACCTAGCTCGAAGGTTGTGCTAACAACAGCGAATTGGATAGGGATACTGACAGGAGCAACATGAATAGTAATGTTAAATATCTATGCTTGGCTCTTCCGTTAAATACCTGTTTCTGTAATTGGTTTCTATCGGGTTCAATTCTTGTAAAATAAGATTTGATATTTCGTACATAATCACTATTATTATTGTGCAAGCGATCGTGAAAGTTGGTTTGCTCTTTGCATGGAGTTACGAGTGCTTAGTAGAAGACATGATGAATACTCTTGATGACTGTGATCTACTAGAAAAATTTTCCAATATGACCAGTGTACATGAACATAATGTTACAGTGTCATTAAAGGTAAAAAAATTCAGATCTCATGATACATATAATTGTACTCGTGTTTTGTGTGAATGCTATGGCTTTGTAGTTTCAAATAAACTTTACGCGTTCGTGAATTCTCAAGTAAAGCGCTCGCTACGAAGCCCGAGTGAACGCTCCTCGAGCATCTAGTTCGATATTTTTTCACATTTTCACCTTCAAATGCTTTCTGGAGAGGAGCCAAAGACTGTTAGAATAAAATGAGGAGAGAAAACGGAGGGATATATATAGAACAAACAGTGGCTCGCAAGAAGAGGCTCGAGGCTCGCAAAAAAACGGCTCCGGCTCGCAGGCTCGCACATTAGTTACTCTCAATTATACTCGGTACCTCATCAACAATTTAACAATTGCATTATACAAGTATGAAGCATAATTCAGTGATGCGAGTGATACCAGAACAAAAAAGAAATAATGCTTTTCTCAATTTGTACCTCTGCCAATAAATGGATTCTTTCCAAGCAAATTGAAGACTCGCTAAACATAAAACTTCGTTCTGGGATGACAAGACCAGTTCTGGAAAAGATGACGAGTATTTTGCATAAAAATATGTATGTCAGAATTTAATTACCATTTCTTATCTTTTTACTTCGAAGCGAGCCAATAACAGGACAGAAACATTGTGAGCTTACAACCATCTGGCATAGCATTAGGTGAGTCTCAACTAAAAGCAGTGTTTTAAAACAGTTTTTTTCCTTCTAAACAGTTTTGGGTTAATTGTTATTTAATTTCAGTCTAATACTAAAGCTACTTGTAAACCTATTTTGTTACCTTTTGTTGACACCGCTTTATCTTAACTCACACTTCTCAGTTAAAAAAATGTTTTTGGCGACAGGTATTTACACTAGTGAGTAGCGCTACATCTCACATAAAAGAGGACAAAATAAGCTTCACAGAAAAAAAATATTTTGTTTCCTAAAATACATGTATTTTAAGATCTTTGATCCTTATCCTCTTCATTAAAGCGCACAAACTAAAATTTACTGTTTGGACTCATTTACGATAATCGCGCCATAAAGAGAACATCTGTTTCGGTGTCGACACAACTCGGACCGGATCACGGACAGTATCACGAATGGATCACGGACTGGATCTTGGGTTAGAGTGCGGATCGGATCGTGGAATAAAAATGGGAGAGAAAGAACATTATGAAATAAATAAACTCAAAATAAGTTTCAACCTCTCGATCATAACTTTTTAGAGACATGTTTTGGTATGACTCCTCATTTTACTGTCACGGTGTTGTATCCGTTGAAGATACACGAAAATTTGAATTCATAACGTAACTGTAATGTAACGTGTAAAAACAAAGTGAACGGATACCACGCCATAAACTGCTCATGAGTCATGTCAACACTTTACAAAAGTATTTTCATGAGTTTGAATTTTTCTTTGACTCTATTATTTTCACTAAGTCAGTCTTATGGAAGTATCAAACACGAAATAGGTATGCAATTGAATAAATAAACGAATGATAAAAATTTCAGCACAAAAGGGCTGGAGAAAACTGTTTTATACTGTAAATAGAGCGAGAGCTTTCCGCATACAGATCGCTGGGGATCGGGGACTCAGTGAGCTTTGACAAGAGCTCCTGATTGCATATAGTTGGCTGGTCGAAGTACGCCATCATGATATAACTTGGTCTCTGGAGCGAAGGTTCGTTTAGTGATGCGCATTCTGTGAACCAATCACAGAGCTCAAAAAGTAATGCAAAACCAAAGCAATTCCAGATTGCTTTCAATTATCAACTGAGAATGTCTCTAGCTGAGTGTAAACATCCAGTTCAGTGGTTTGCATGAGTCTTACACGGCGGTAAAAACAACAACAATTTGAAACACCGAGAGCTTAAAAATAAAAAAGAAAAAACAAACAAACAAACGTACGAAAAAAATTAAAAGAGACACACGAAGTCTGTGACATATTGACTAATACCTCATCGAGTCAAAGTTTCGCTAAAGGATTTGAATTATTTAAAATTCGGCTGGAAAAAAAAAATTAAGAGAGACAATCTGGCTTTTTTACACAATGAGAGAAGGTAGCTCTTTGCTTGTGCGCATCTCATGAGTGTGGATGGATGGAGCTTGAAACCTCAGCTTTCACAATCTGATCCAGAATTCTCCCTTCCGGTACCAACATTTTTTTCAGCATGAATAAGGTGTAGAAATTTAGACTTTTACCCGAATAATAGCCTATAAGCCTCTAGCTAATAGGTTTATAAGTTTTCGACATTGCATTGTTTGCTACGTAATTTCGTGTAAATAGGTTAATCACTTCTTGAATTGAAGATGTGTGCGTTAGAGCAACAACAACAACAACAACAATCTTTATTTGTACTCACACTTGCTCAGAAAAAGTTACAACAAAGAGAATATTAAAAAGTATAAGTTAGAGTACTGGCTGCCTGCAATAACCATAGGGGCAAGCGGAGCAAGGCAGCCTGGCAGCTTTTAACTTTATTGCTGTCTGTCTTTGCTACTTGGCTCGAATGAAAATGTTACCATGCATGTGGATCAACAACATTTTTCTTTTGGTTGGCCCTATTTCTTCCAAAAGGATCATGGGTGGGACAATTTCTGCCCGTGTAACCATCAAAATAACAATAGGTGCTGCTCCAGTACCCACTCAGATAGAGCATCGGCCCATAGTTGGTTTTTTCTGAAAACTTTGAAGGCGCCGAAGATGATTTACTAGGGTCAGCCACGTATTTGATGATCGTGCAGTTGATATTACCTTCCCACCAATCAACCAAACTGCCAAGTCCTGGATGACACACCAACCAGTTGTTTATTTTGCTCTAGATGAGGACCTGTCTGCCGAGTTGTTTCCAGAGTGAGACGTTCATGGCGTTGAAGTCTGTTTCATTTAGTGGAGGATTTGTAGAGACAGGAACATCCGCTTTGGCCTCAACCAGCCAATTCGGTCTTGGAGTGATCACATTTGAACCATCATTAAAATGACTGTAGTTGGCAAAGGAATAGCTCCATACTAGTGTCCAGCCTCCTCCATCAGTTTCCATGTCACAGTAAGCCTTGAAAGTATTGGCCTGGGATTCGCCATCAGGATCAATCCAATAAACACCCGAGGTCGTAGTACGAGATTGGTTATGGAGAGTCTGGCACGAGGTTACTGCTGAATTCTGGTCAGAACCAGGGGGCGGAGAAGAGTTTTTTTCTGCAATCATAAAGTTGCACAATAGGAACAACGACTTAATCGCCGAAAGTGATCCTGTAACGAATATTAGAGTTACTGATCTAAATTCAATTATGAACATCAAAGAAAGAGCCAATGATAAATCCCTGAGCAGTATAAAAGGATATAGAGGTGAACAACAGGGTTATGTTTACTGACATGTACTTTGATAACGATAATAATAATAATAATGGTAATAATAGTAATAATAACACCAGCAAAGACTGTGATGAAAGAGATAATAATAATAATGATAATAATAATAGCAATAATAATAATAATGGGAATTTCTGTAGCGCCATATCCGTATGTTCATGGTGCTTTACGACTGAATATTTCAGACCGAAAATTATGTAGATTAAAAATTACATCAGTAATAAAACACAAATATATAAAAGTACAAGTTAAAAATTCGTAGCTATAAATCAAAATTAAAAGTAAAATTTTTATCGCGATATTTATATACATTATTCTCACCGCACTGTAATTAAAATGTTCTCTGAATAAGAAGGTCTATATAGAAGTTTTACATTTTGAAATGACATCATGATTATGTATGGGGTCTTTAACTTAATTGGGTTTTTCTTTTCAGTCTTTTTTGGCAATTACTTCGAGCTTTCTCAGGAAATTAGGACTCAGACTCAAAACATTTCTTTTTTATTACCCTCGTCAAATGATACTACGCTGAACAACCACAAAGACATTCCAAACCATTCTTAGTAGTCGTATACATCTTCCGATTTTTTGGCAGGTCGTGTTTTGATGATGATCGACACCTACAAATGCTGACAACTTTTCAATGAAAAACAAAACCTATGGCAACAATACACCAAATCTTCGGTGGAAATTATGAACTTGAAAAATATAAAAAACTGAAATTTATCACGGTGCATCAAAACTTATCTATTAGATGTAGTAATTTATTTCAGTGCTCTAGCTACCAATATTAAATTTGTTTATCTCACCTAGATGGAGGGCGGATATTTCTGGGAGTTCGACCTGTAGTGCAGTTAAAAAGTACATCCAGTTAATATTCATACTTCATGCGCATGCGGAAGAAATTCTTGAAGTCACATTGGTTAATTGCAGAATGTTACAGCAGAGCTTTTTATGTGCTTTTGGATATTGAATCTGATGTTAAAACGAACTTATTTTGATCATGTCGTCTTTATTGGATCTTTATTGGAATCTTTACTCAATTCATTTACGTCTCTCCGTAGATAAGCCTTCTCTCTCGTTTTAGTTTTTTCCTGCTTTTTTCCATGCCCGAGTGCGTAGTTTTGATGAACCGAAATCAAAATTTGTGGAGCTTTTCTTTTCATGAAATGATGATAGCAGTTATCATTATCGTTGTCAAAAAACTCCTCATAATGCAGCAATGAAAGAGAATTAAACTTGTTCGTGATAATGCTTAACTAATCTTTTGTCACCATCTGAGAACCACGAAATATTATCAATGCGAAACACCTTTGTTAAATGGAAAAAACCATCTCGTTGTAAAAGCCGCCCAGCTACTGAACTTGTTTACATTTCGCTGCGAAGAAGGTAACATATAGTCTTGTGTTCTTCAGAAAGTTTGCACTTCTGCAAGAAGCTTGGCTCGCACAGGAAACGGCACAGGGAAGCAGAGTCAGTTTTTTCAGACCACAAAAGGCTTTCTGTTCCGAAACTGAAAATGTGGTTTTCTTTGATTTGAAAGAAAACGCCATGTTCGCTTCCTTCAAATGTCTTTCCCGCTAAGGACAAGACGAATGCAAATAGGTACTCGACTTGCAGCAACATCTGTAGAGGGAATCTTAAGACAAATTATGATAAATGAATGCATAAAACGTATAAATCACCTGCCTGTAGACAAAATAATCAAACAAGACAGAAAGGGAGAGAAATTTAAACCTACTCTTTACTAGCTTCCTCAGGCAAAAAATCTTCGTGAATAAATCTGCACTGTAAGTATTATAAACTTTCTCATTCAGTGATGCTTGTGTGAAAGTTCATTTTTGTATTTGAGTATAGTATATATAGCTTTGATATTTTATTTTCTTAACAATACATTTACAATTACTCAAAGATTATATTTTGACATTTAAATGAAAAAGACAAGTCCTGCAGGTTTCTAATGCAATTACCATGGCTTCTAGTTAAACAGAGTATGGAAACACTGGAAAAGTTGCAATAATCTCTTTCATGCAAAAGTAAAGAAACAGATTTTGAAACGCAAAATTAAGAAAAAGGAAAAAAAAATGGTGAGAGACAAAGTTAAAACTGGAGATGAAAACATGGCTATTTAGTATGGAACACCTGCCACAGAAAAATTACTTTTTTGAGTGGAAATGAAAAGTAAGGGCTCTTTTTGAAGAGATACTCTAATATCTTATTTATCAACCAATCCTTTCAAACTGATATTATACCTATTATTTGTTAAATTTGTTACATATAGCTTCATGCGTTTGATAATTTTTTAAGTTGGAACGATCATTTTTCACTTGGAGGGCTCGGTTTTCCTCTGGCATTATGGGTAGAATAATGATCCCCAGAGCAATCATCTAATTGGGAGTATTTAAGGGCTGCTTCAGCACATGCTCGAATCTTTCACTTCTGGCTTCGATGCTCTTCTACATTTAATTAGTTAAAAGAATAAAGTGAAATATCAAAATGATACCCTTTTGCTGATAAGTTCTTTAACTTTCATCATGTTTTTTTGTCCGATAAGGTATTGATATCGTGAGAAGAGGTCCATCACTTATGGAAGTAATGTGACTGAGTAAAAATCTGTTTGACTGTGTTTGCTACTCGAATCAAATGAAAGTGTTACCATGTGGATTTACAACATTTTTCTTTTGGTTATGCCTGCTGCTTGCGTAAGGATCATGGGTAGGCCAATTTCTTCCTGTGTAACCATCAAAATAATAATAAGTACTACTATAGCGTCCAGTCCAATAGAACAGCGGCTCATAGCACATGTCTCGATTCGGTGCAAACTTGGATGGTACCAATTTGAGGCTTGAGTCAGTCACGTGTTTGACGATCGTACGGCCTTCCCACCAATCAACCAAGCTGCCGGGATGACACAACAGCCAGTTGTTTATGTTGCTCTTGATGAGGACTTTTCTGCCGATTTATTTTCAGGGCGAGAAGTTTATGGCGTTGTAGTTTGTTTCATTTAAAAGAGGTGTTGTAGAGACAGGAAAATTCACTTCGGCCTTGACCGGCCAATTTGGTCTTGGAGTGATCGTGTTTGAACCATCATTGAAATGACTGTAGTTGGTAAAGGAAAGGCTCCATACTAGTGTCCAGCCCCCTCCATAAGTATCCATGTCACAGTAAGCCTTGAAAGCGTTGGCGTGAGATCCACCATCGAGATCGATCCAATAAACACCCGAGGACGTAGTGGGATGTTGTTTGAGGATAGTCTCGCAGGAGGTTACTGCTGACTTCTGGTGAGAACAAGGGTGGGGGAGAAGCGTTGTTTTCAATAATCATAAAGATGTCTTGTTAGACTTGTCGACCTAAACTTACCCATGAGCATCAAATACAGAACCGATATTCGCCGAAAATTTTGGACATGCAAGTGCAGTGCATCAGTATTAAGACTGCGTAACACGATAATTCATGCTCCTTTTTGGTAAAGAACTCGAATGGGCTAAAATATTAAACCTACTCTCTCCTTTGGATTGATTTGCTTAAATTTGCATCTTCCATAGTAATATAAGTGTCCAGTTGCCTTATCATTACCGATAGACGCGTCGACTTTTTTACAGCGTTGGGGTGATACGCTTTTGAATCATCACAAAAATAAGTTAGTTTTTATTAGTGATGTAGGGAAAGCTGGAGTGAAGGAATAACTACATACTAAATTCCAACCTCCCCATCATTCCCCTTGTCATAGAAAGCTTGAATTGCATTAATACGAAAAGGTATATGATATAAATACAGATATAGTTTTATAGATTATCTGCCTAAAGATGACAGAGTCAAACAAGACTGAAAGAAGGGGAGAAAAGTTTGACTTACGTTTTTCTTCCAAAGGCAACTGAATCACTGCGCAACAAAAAGAGACCTTTCTGAACCGAAAATCGGCACCACTAGTGTTAATTGTAAATTTGCTTCTTCCCTGATCTTCGTCTAAAGGTCTATTTTTCTACTTGAGTAGAGCAAAACAGCTTTGACATTTTTTTTTCTCTTAACAGTACGTTTCCAATTACTCCACAGATCAATTTTGACATCTCAATGAAATACACAATTCCTGCAGGTTTATGATGCCATTATCATAACATCTACATAAACAGAATAGAGAAACACCGGGAAGGCTGCAATGTGCTCTTTGATCCCACAATGAAGAAACCATTAAAATTGAAATATGTGGCTAAAATGGAGACACATAATAGAAATTGAGAATAAAAACTTAGTGGCCTTCTATTATATTATATATCTGGCATGGAATAATTGCTTTTTTGAGTTTAAAGCAGCGAAAAAGAAAAGCCCAATGTCTGTCCTGAAACAAAGTCACCATCAGACCTCATAAAAATATATATAATAGGACGGAGGTAGATATTTTTGAATATTTAAGTCAAATATGCTAAATTCTTTTTAAAGATGATGCTTTTAAATACGCGAAATTTAATTTGCTAGTCATTAACAGCCCTTTCAAACTTAAGTTTTACTTTTATTTGTTGTATTTATCACATAAATATTATAGTAATACACGTTTTAATGACTTTTACAAGCTTGAACAAAGATGACTCCATGTATTTTCTAACCTTCGATTCCTTTAAGTCACTTTATCTAGCTATGGTCAGATGAGTCAAGTTCACTTAGTCTATACCTTTGGTGTTCTATAAGCTGTACTGTAAACTGGTTCAAGACTTCCACTACCGCCACTCGTCCCGTTTAATACAACGAATAAAGAAATTACTTACCTGATTTTAAAAGGGGTACGTAATTAAAAGAACTGAGAGGCTGAAACCCAAACCCTATTGAGCAGTACCTACTTGATTACGTCAAATACGGATAAGGTATTAGTTGAGTGTGGAATACACCAAAAATAATCACAATGAGAAATCGTAACAGCCAACCAGAACAAAGGTTACATCATCATTGGCCAATAAGAACTTAAAGTGAAAAATAGACACTGCGAAAGGCGCGGGAAAACGCTTGTAGCCAGATGAAGATTAGTTTTGTATTGCGTCCAATTTTTTGAGAGGATGTCGAGAGTTTGTACACCAATCAGAGAGCGTGAATTAAAGGTAAAGCGAAACCTCTGAAATAAGTTCAACATTGATTGATTGATTTCCACAAACGATTGAAAATTGCTCTACTTAGCTGGGTGCAGCTATATATCTAGTTTTGTGGCTCGCTTGAGCATCGTAAATATTAGCGGAACAAACAGTCATTTTTGAAACATCAAGACCTTAACACTGTTTAAACAAGAAAACAAACAAACAAACAAACAAACAAACATAGAAAAATAATTCAAAAAAGGAAAAAATGTAAGAAATCGCAGACATAGTGAGCAAAAACCTCATTAAGTCAAAATCTCGCTAGGTGATTTGAATTATCAAAAATTCGATTGGAAAATAAACTTCTGAGAGATTATCTAGTGTCTTTACATGATGAATGTAGCCAGTGCTTTGTTTGTGTTCATCCGTTAAATGTGGATCCGGAACTTGCTTGAACCTTCAGCTTTCGAAAATGAAACGCACTAACACGCGTTTCCTTTTAAATAACCTTTTTAATAATCTAAACAACATTTCTTAGCAATCACATCAGCAGGTTAACAAACGCGTCGCTGAGCATACAAGACAACCATCTTACTCTAACACAACTAAGATCATAATCACCATTTTCCCGTATCTTATAGTGAAATGTAACAACAACGAAATCATTGTCTACAGTTTCCGAGAGAGCTTCCAAACTCTGATCTAATATTATCCCTTTTGGTAGCAATACTTTTCCATTGTGTAATTAGATTACTAATAGAGCAAGATGCTTTCACGTATACGTTCATCAAATGTCGTTTCTTTGTTGGCTAATGTAATTATTCTGAGCGGAAATGTTAATTACTTCTGGAAGATATATGTGTAAGAGTTTATTAGTTTATTGCTGTCCGTCTAAACTACTCGGCTCGGATGAAAATGTTACCATGTGGATCAACAACATTTTTCTTTTGGTTCGTCTCATCTCTTCCAAGAGGATCATGGGTAGGCCAATTATAGCCCTTGTAACCATCAAAATAATAATAGGTGCTGTTCCAATACCCACTCGAATAGAGCATCGGCCCATAGTTGGTTTTTTCTGAAAATTTGGAAGGTGCTGGAGATGATTTGCTAGGGTCAACCACGTATTTGATGATCGTACAGTTGATATCACCTTCCTGCCAATCAACCAGGCTGCCACGTCCCGGATGACACACCAGCCAGTTGTTTATGTTGCTCTTGATGAGGATCTGTCTGCCGAGTTGTTTCCAGAGTGAGAAGTTCATGGCGTTGTAGTCTGTTTCATTTAATGGAGGATTTGTAGAGACAGGAACATCCGCTTCGGCCTTAACCAGCCAATTCGGTCTTGGATTGATCGCATTTGAACCATCATTGAAATGACTGTAGTTGGTAAAGGAATAGCTCCATACTAGTGTCCAGCCTCCTCCATCAGTCTCCATGTCACAGTAAGCTTTGAAAGCGTTGACCTGGGATCCACCATCGGGATCGATCCAATAAACACCCGAGGACGTAATGAGAGATTGGTTATGGAGAGTCTGGCACGA